AATAATTTTCATGCACAGGGGCGTGAAAATTTAGCCATGTAACGCTGCCGGCCTTTTTTTCGCCCTTTTTTCTCTGGAGAGAGAGGGAGTCTCACCAACCGACCAGCGTGTGTGTGTTGCACACACCACACAGCGAGAGCGGGACGGGAGCAGGGTGTGCCCTATACTACTGCTGCTGCTAGCTTTCGGCGGAGGAAGCGAGAGGAGAGATATTGATTGGGTCTCTGTGGGTCCATCGGTTGGTTGTTGTTATTGTGTTGCGACGCGGCGGGAGGGAGCGGCCTCTGACTCTGCTCTGGAGAGAGGCACACATACATCACAGCACGGGACCAGTAACACATCACGCTCGTTCCTAGACGATGTAGTACCACTGCTGTGCTGTGCACCTCTCTACACTCATTGTGGGCGAGAGGGTGTGTCGCCTCTGCTGCTGCTGCTGTTGCTGTTATCTAAAGCGGTGGCGGAAGCGTCCTGTTCAAACAATCAGCAGCAGCAGCAGCACAAGCCGGGGAATTTTTCAACGTATGTTTTTTTTTCTCTAGCTGATGACGATGGATGACACTCCCCCCCCTCTGATGATAGCACCCCCCCCTCACGGCTGACGATGGATAGCACCCCCCTCGCTAGCTGATGATGGACACCACCCCCCCCTCTAGCGAATGATGATGGATACCACCCCCCTCCCTAGCTGGTGATGATGGACCGCCCCCCATTCTTCTGTAACACACGCACGAGCCTACTAGCAGGTACTTTTGTGCAACCACCACAAAAAACTATTCCACCTCCAACTCTAGTATTTTCTTTTGTTGGCACGTTCGGCTGACCCGTGGGGTCCTTCCGGGAGGCAACCCCCCAGGCTTGTGGTGCGCACATTCCACTATTTATTTGTTTATTTGTTTCTGATTCTTTTGTTTTGTGGATGACAGGTGTAGAAGTGATGTAACCATTTTCGTTGCACGTACAAAAGTAGGACCAAGATACGATCCGAACGGAGGATCTACTGATGGTTGATCAGCAAGACACCCGACTGTGGATGCGTCCCTCTTGGCGCCACCTGTGGAGCTTNTGTGCCCCGCCAGCTGCTTGTTCCATGCCTACCATGGTGTTTTTGTACAGACAGCACTTCAGGCAGCATTATGCTGTAGTCGGCAATCTTCCGTTTTGGTATAGAGTGGGACAGGGAGGGGGTGATGCTACTGCTGTAGTCGAACGGTGGGACGGGCGTGCAGTTCAGTTCTTGGGCACGCATACGGTGCTGCAGGGATTTTTTGGTGTACCTCTTCGTTCGTGCCCTTGGATACATTTTTGTCGTTATATGTGTGCGTGTTCTTTAGATCCTCAGATGGCTCTAGCACTTTCGTGACCACGGGNCTGTCCCTTTTTGGGCAACTTTGTCCCTTTTTGAGAAAAGGGACAGCCCAAAAAGAGAGAGCGTAACAAGTGGCCTTAATGTGAAGACAACAACAACAACAACCCCGTAAGGCTGAGAACATACGTTTTATGCTGGATTTTAAAGGCCTTTGGCCAAGTTTCTCGGATTTTTCCCGTTGAGTTCGAAAAACTGAATCGGGGGGTTTTGCGCACACACCGCAACAAACCGCATCCCGATCCTCGCTGTTGCGGTTTGCGTAGTTCTTTTTTTGAATCTCGCGACACCGTGGACACACCCACACTCCCACAAGCATCCCCCATGTGGAAGTGGCTGCCGTCTCTGGCGCTGCTTCTTGCAGCAACAGTGGCGCTTGCATGACTCCAACCTTCAACAGCAGCCCGGGTTCTCTTCCGATGGCCGCCGCCGGTATGGATGCCCTGTTGCCAGCAACGGCGTTGGCCGTGGCGTTGGTTGCCATAGATGAGGCCCAACGCAACGACTTGTCGCAGCAGTACTTCCTGGAGGAGGATCCGGCTAACGACCTTCCCCGCGAGAGACTTACGCGGTCGCAGACACAGAGGAAAGACGTGGAGACATGCGCTTGGGCACAGCTGTTGGAGGATAAAGACCTCGAGGACAGCACGAGCATCACCGCCAAGCAGTTTCTAGTGGAATTCCGCGTACCCTAGATCTACACCTTCCTTCGGCTTGTTGCCTTGGTCAAGAGCAAGAACAGGTTCTCGACTGCTGTGACGGACGCCGTAGGTCGGGCAAGTCACCCAGTGGAGCACAAGGTAAGCTGGATAGATGCTGGATTGTTGGAGTGCAGACTCTCTGTCCACAACCAATTAGACTGCTGCAATAAAACAATGCAGAGTTGGACAAAGCAAGCACGGCAGTTTTTCTTTAATTGCGTGCCGTTTGCAGTACATCCAGCCCTTGCACACCTGCTTCTTGACCGCTGGTCGCGCTCGGCAGTCTTGTGGTGCACCCGGTCGTTCTTGTGTCATGCACAGCACAGCATAATATTGAGACCGGAAAGCTCTGCAGGTGTAGCTATTTTATGCAGTTTGTGTCAACCCTGTACCATGTACCCATGTACAGCAGTACAGCCAGTACACAAGTAGCAAAAATCGTTCGTCACCTTGGTACTGCTGTATGTAGAGCTGCGCCTACTACTGTAGGCAGCAGGAAGATACTGTATATCTACGTTGGGTCGAGATGCCGAGATAAGGCTGGAGAGGAGATTCGAGTCATCTCGTACAAGTGTTTGTTTGCTGTCGCATGTACAGCGCAAAACTCAGTCCTCCAACCAGTACGATGCTTCCACGCGCGGGCAACAGCAGTACAATGACCATGCGTACGCCTTGTATCCTCGTGTGTCCATGCGTTGGTGACTTCGTGCTGCAGATGCTGGCCTGGCTGATTATACTGGGGGGGGCAACTGCTTTGCAAGCATTTACCAGATGTCGTGGATGAGCGCGAAGACCGTGCAGGGGATGTTCCACAAGCTCTGCAGGCACTTCGCACGGGAGATGTACGATGAACACATTACCTCCCTACGAAAGAGAGCGGCAAGCTGGACCACGTTATTCAGCAGTACGATCGGGTTGGGTTCACGGGTGCGGTGGGTTCTATGGACGTCACACATATCGCTTGGAGCAGGTGCCCCTTCAACCAAGCCCGTTCGTACACAGGCAAGGAGGGGTTCCCACGATCGCGTATCAGGTCACGGTTGATCACGCCGGCCGGGCAATTGCTGTGACTGAGGGTTTCACCGGCTCGACGAACGACAAGACCATCTTCTGCTGGGATGCCGCGGTGGAGAAGATTCGGACGGACAAGCAGTACACGGACAAGACGTTCGACGTGTACAATGAAGACGGCACGACGACGACGCTCAAGGGGTGCTACTTGCTCGTCGACAACGGGTACCACAAGGTGCATAATAAATAAGTACCGTGTGCTTGAGTGGCGAAACACATTCGTTTGGAGGAGACATGTGTCCGGCCTGAGACAGAGAGTGTAGACAGACAGAGACAGAGAGAAAGAGAGAGCGCTGGCCAGCGAAGTCTTTCGGACCGTTTCAACGCAAATCGTTTCATGGTATTGAGATGTCGGATACGGCAATCAAAACGTCGGCTGCCCACTCTTGCAATCTACTCCGGTGGTTCATAGCTGCTGTTATTTTTAGAACGTCTCCCTTCAACCCCGTAGCCCCCCCCTTGAGTCTCCGAGTTTAAATTTCACGGCTTTTAACGACGTAGCACCGAACCCGTCTTCGCCTTCCATCTCTCTGTCGTGTTTTTCCACTGGCAAATCCTGATCGAGCCCTCCAAGAACCCGCTGAGCGAGAACGACCTGCTCTTTTCGAAGAGGCTGGAGAGCGTACGCAAGGACGTGGAGTGCTTCTTCGGCATCCCTGAAGGGTCGAGTTAGGACCCTCAAGCTCGCCATGGTGTACCAGAGCCAGGAGCGCATCGACAACGTGTTTTTCACGTGCTGCATCTTGCACAACATGCTGCACACCTTCGACGGCATTGACCAGCTGGTGGAGAACACGAACTGGGTTAGTAGTGCTGGGGTGGGGGCCACGTTGGCGACGGAGCCGGAATCGGACTGTGGATCTGTTGGGACGAAGGACGTCAATGACCAGCCTCAATTGGAGATCGGGCACACAGTGCGCAAGCGACAGCTCACCACCAGCTTCGCGTACCGCAAGAAGCACAAGAAGGACATTGTCTGGCTTTCTAGGTAAATCGAATTCGGTGAGTTGCAGCGTATTGCATGTGTTGGGTCGCTGTTCTGCCGCATCCTGGTCGTCTTTTAGAAAACGTTGGTACACCGTCCGACCACTGTTTGATTTTCTTCTTGCCGCCGGCGTTATTTTTTCGCAGTACGGGCGTCGGCAACGATGCTTTTGATTACCCCTCCCTCCCCGTCCCCTGTACCCACTTTCTTTTTTATGCCACCCGACCTGTCTTGTATTTGGCCGTGTTTGTCTTGTAGCCTTGTTGACGTTATTTTTGCGTATGGGCTACTGCAGTAATATTTGTATAACCTGCTTCTTGTTGTACACAGACGTTGGAGCACCCTCCGACCTGTCTTGTCCCTGGGTGTTTGTTTTTCGTTCTTGTCCATGGGTGTTCGTTTTTCGNCCCCCCCCCCTCTGTGTGGACGGACGTCTTTCTTTGTAGACATACTTCGAAGTACACATCGGGTTCCCTTCACATGTCCCTGGAGGCATGAGATGTAGGTCGTCGACCAAATTGGACTGGATTTGTTCTAAATTGGGACCGTCTGCAACCATCGCGTGAAGAATGATTCATTATCTCTTTCTCGATTGCACTCCCACCGACGGTCTGGGTTTCGACAACTCCTAAATGACCTTTGTTGACCAACGGTATCACGCTGCACATGCCCGAGTTAAGTCTACCGTAGGTCGACGTTATTGATTTGGCAGGTTGATTTGTCGAAAGCGACATGAGGGATTTTATCCTGACATGTATTTTACGATCATTTTCCCCCAGCTTGACGGTGTGACAAAACAAAACAGCAACAATGAACCGGAAGCGGAGACACTCGCTGCTGTAGCCCGAACGCAAAAAAAAAAAAAAACAGGCCACAAGAAAAAACACGGCCAAGGATAAGACAGGTCGGGTGGTACACAACAAAGAATTGTGGGCACACGGTACAGGGAACGGGGACGGGGGGTGGCAAGGAAAACCTTTGCTGCTGCTGCCGTAGCCCGTGCGAAAAAAATAAAACAAGCAGGCTACATTGTCTACAAGAAAGGACACGGGCACACAACAACAAATGTGGCCACAGGGTACAGGGAAAGGGGACGAGGGGCGACAAGGAAAAACATTGCTGCTGCTACCGTAGCCCGTGCGAAAAAAAAAAAAAAAGCAGGCTACATAGTCTACAGAGAGAACACACGGCCAAAGATCAGACAGGTCGGATAGCACACAACAAGAAACAAACGTGGGTGCCGGGGACTGGNGGGGGGGGGGGGGGGGGGGGGGGGGGGGGGGGGGGGGGGGGGGGGGGGGGTGACCTCTACACGCTACACAGTAAAACATTGCGAAAACTGAAAAAACGAACGCATACCAGCTCGCAAAACACATTGCCAAAAAAAAAAATCAATTTCTCCTCTCAGGGGCTACGTGTTTAAAATTTTCCTTTCTTCCTCTCCCTCATGACCAACACCCCTCTCCCGCGTCCCGGTAAACCCAGGGAGGGCATTAGATCTTGTGCTGGACCGTGCTGCGCCCAAAACGATCGGGGCACCGTCTCGGACACTGGAAGTGGTGTTGCCGTAGCAGGCGATGAAGACACGGACGTAGGGAGGGTCGCTAGACCGACCGCAGACGCGGGTGTTGAAGCAGCAGGCGATGTCGAAAAGGACGCAGGTAGGGCAGTGATCTCAGGAGCAGTGGCAGGCGGTGCCGCTACAGATGACACCGACGTAGACGCGGATGTACTGGGGGCACCTCCTGCAGCGGGTGGCGTCGCGGCCGAGATGGGTTTGAGCCTGAAGTCGGCGTCATCCATGCCATACATGGCCGATATAGAGGCTCGCAGTGCCATCGCCCTTGGCCCTCCGAGTTAAAACTCCAACTTCCCCTCGAGGGGTCATTTTAGCTTTTCTGGCCAAGCGAGCGTAATCCCAGCGACCCCTGTGGGCGGCTTCTTCGTCCAAAGCCTGCCTCGACACAACGGCTGCCGGCAAAGCTTCCGCGGCCGTCACCAGCTTGCCTGTATGGGCCTGCTGGACGCGGCGCGCCTGCTCCTGCGCGTTCGCCGCCGCCACAGCTGCGTGCTCGTTCTTCACCTGCGCACGGCTTTGAATTTCGCCGGCCCCTGCGAACATCCGAATCGCGCTCGACGACAAATCTACCTCGGTGTACGCACCGCTTGACTCCGACCCGCTGCCGTCGCTGGTTCTGGGCGACCCTTACTTCGTCTTCTGCTTCCCTCCGCGACCCTTCGGCCCGGACGTTTTCCGCGCGGTCCTAAGGTCAGGGTCCTCGCTGCTGCTTGGCCTTCCGGTAAGACAGTAGGTGAGGAGATAGGGGCGCATCCACTTGTTGGGTCTGTCAGGATACCCGCCGTCTACTTGTTCGATATCTTCGGAGGGGGCGCCATCCCCGTCGCCCTGGTTGCCGACGGCTGGCTCCTCCTTGATCCCCCTCACCCCCGGTGCACCACTCTCACTTTCCGCCGGCCCGCCGCCGTCCTCGAGCTGCCCGGTGGGGATTCCCCATCGTTACCACCGTTGGCATGCAAGCCCGCCGCTCCCCCGCCGTCCGCAACATCGTCGTCGCCGCCTTCCAACTCGATGTCGTCCTCGGTGTTCCCGGAGCTGAGGTGGTATACACCGTTCAGAAGGTAGTCGAGGGCATCTTCTTCTTGTTCGCCCGACGGTAGGTTTCCTCCAGGTTGTCAGGCTGTCCTTCCACGAAACTGGGACAGGGGTGCCACCGGAGCAGGGAGAGGGGGGGGGGGGGGGGGG